AAAATAACAAGAACAGTTAGAACTATAGTAATCAATTTTGAAAGGGCTTTTAGGAAGGGCTTATACCAACAACTATTTAGCTGATATTTAGAAGAAAGTGTTCTTTTCGTGTAATTTACTCTGTATCTGTTAATGCAAAGTACCAGTGTTATCTCTATACCCTTTTACATACCAGAAGCATCAGCACTGCCTGCTGATTATTACAGTATACTAGATTAAACTCCCTAGTCTCACTGTTATTAAACAAAACAATAAATTCTGCAGCTGAAGAGTCACATAACAGGTGAGTTTTCAGAGCTATTAGTTTCAGGAACAGTGCAATATTCTTTCAATTGACATCCTAAGCACACTGTTCTCATACTGAGTGGGAAGCTACAACAACATTTCACCACATTTCAAATCAGAATCAGAAAACCAAATATACCACCACAGTAAACAGGTCTAAGCAGTCGCTAATGAGACAGTAGGGCCCCAAAAAGGCAGTGTATATTAAATGAGGTCTACTTCCCATTCAGATTTCTTTAAGGAATAGAATGTTTATCTCCAGTCAGTTTCTAACAAACAAGTTGAGCAGAGATCACTGTGTCATCTGAAATTTCTATTCCTAAGTATGGATATGTTCACAGATGATAGAATCCTGGCTACTAAAAACAACTAATGAAGATTTGCATTAGTAAATATGAGAAGAATCAATCTGCACACCTGTTCACTCCCTCAACAACGTCCCGAAGATGGCATAGTGTACTAGCAGCGGAGCTAAATTAACATACAGACCAGAGTCCACTGTGAAGCAGGGAGAACCACCAAAAGGCATGTAATCTTAGATTCAGAGCATGATTGCAACTTCCAGCTCTATCAGTGGAAGAGGTGGACTGAAACTGACCCAAGTCCTCCAGTGCTGCTTTCATGAACAGCCACACTTCTTCACTAACACAAAGTCAGATAAAACTCGTTCTTAAGCTAAAGTTTAAAATGACAATACAAAAGGTGACAGGACCCTTCCTGAGTGATCAGGTGTTTATTTTCGAGGATTTCTACTGTTCCTATAGTATGCATTATACTATTTTCAAATAAAAAGAATGCCTGAAATAGCATTAATTAAAAGAAAGGGACAAGAGGGAGGATGCATGGGAAGTTCTAATGAACCTCTGTGGCAGTAACTTCTTTGAACCAAGCTGCCAGCGATCACATTGTAGTCTATAATTATACATGTTTTGAATAGACAGGCTGATACCTAGACAGGAATTTGAACTGTCTGAAAGTTGTTTAAAGTTTTGCAGAGTTGAGCAAAGATTTCAGATTTTAAAATTGTGTTACATACTACATGAAAACTAGACTGGAAAAGCCTCTCCTTTCTTTTCATCATTGCAGCGCAAATGCAAAAAGAATTAGAAGATTTGTGTCAGTATGAAATACTTCACATAGTCTGCTCTCACTAAGATAAATGTCAAAAGCAATTGAGCTTTTACAAAGCTTGCAGACAGATAAACTTTAAAGGTGCTGTATGTTTTTCTACCAAAGAAATGCATCTTTCTACAAGGCCCATGACTACCAAACCAATGAAAATCTGATGACACTGAAAGTCAGTTTGATTTTATGAGCCTCCAAATATCCTAGTTTGAAAAACCTTATTATGAATAAGAAGCTCCTTCACAATTTACCTCTTAGTAAAACTTCTTTAAGAGTTCTCTCTACTACATCCCAAAAGAAAGCATGCTATTCTGAAGGTCTACTGTCACCAGTATTTATTAATTCCTACTGTGTAACTTCAAAATAATGATATCTCTCTCCCTTGCCCTTTCTCACATACAAGTACAACAGAAGCTTGATTTCTCTCTTAGAGATTACATTAGAACCATACTTTTCCCTCTTCAACTTCCTGTAGTTCATGATTCAATGTGTCCTCAGCTGCTTCAGGAGTCTCTGGTTCCTTCTCCATAAAAATTTCAGCTGTATTGCTGTATTTATTTGCCCACGTGACCACTAAAGAGATATTTTGATTTTTTTAGTAGAAAAACCTTTCCATCTGCTCTTGCATGCTTTTTGAGTACAACTGTTATAATGACTTTCTGTCATTTTATAGATCATTTAGGCAAATTTAGCAGTAAAGCAAACACATAATTTCCTTTCTTTAAAGACCTGAATCAATACCATTCAGACATACACAAAATTTAGAGCTTCAAAAGAAACATATATTTTTAGCTTTAACTAATTATTATTTCAAATATCTTGCATGCACAAAACTATGAACTGTTGAGATGTGTGGCCTATTAATATCAGCACCCATTAGAAACTGAAGAGGTATCTTCACAGTGAATATAATCTTCTTTAGTCTCCTTCAGAGAGCTTTTGGCTTGTAAAAGGGATGCATTACAGTAATTGTTAGTGATAAAGTAAAATATTTTTTCTCACATTAGACATCTTATTTTCATTTTTCAAACTAGCACATCTCCCTTTTTAACTGAACTTATTATCCTTCAATTCTCCAGGCTGTCCTACAGTTTTCTGAAAATTCAGAGTGTACGACACAAATGCATCATTAACCACAAACATCCTGTTAGTCTCCGAGCCTGGAGGATGGCGGAACAGCATGACATCTGAAGCACTGTGGCAGAAGCTTAGTTTTGTTTGTTTCATTTCTTTACCGGCTGACAGTGACAACTCTAAGTTAGTCTGTCCTGAGCCACCTTCTATAGCCCCACAGGAGATAAAACTATACAGACTACAATATACAAAACCAGGTTGGGAGTAAGACTGACTTTTAAAAGATCCGTTGACATTTAAGAAATACTTTGCTTGTTTTTACTTATCATGAAATACAATTCTGCCTTTGTGATCATGGTCCAACACAAAGGATTTAACTCTAGTGGCCTTTCTTGCCCAAGTTATGTAAATAAATACATTAATCAAATTACTTATATTTTATTTAAATAAGTAAACAAAAAATGTGAATTCATGTGTTTAAAGGTAAATGTTGCTTTCAAATTAGTGTAAAAGGCCATTGATAGTGAGCAGTTATACTTTCTCCAACAATGTGATCACTTTCATACAGAAAAATAAACCTAAAAGAAGGATAACTGTACATTTAACAAAATCAGTACAAATAGTAATATTAATCTCTTTTTTATATATTCAGCACATCATACTAATATAATTTCAGGTACAGCTATATGAAGATAAGCTACTATCAGGTAATGAGAGGTAATGAGTATTAAAAAAAAAAAACAGTTCTATTCTGCTCTTCCAGATAGGAAGCCCCTGTCATTGACCTTTAAGGTACAGATAAAAGAAAATGCTCTTTTCCCCAACCAACTTCTAAAGAAGAGAACTGCTTTCCATTCTACTTTAAAAGCCCCTTCTGATGGAAGAACTATGTTAGTAAAAACCTAGAGAGTCACCAGCTTGCTTTCTTTATCAGCAGCATTACTGCATGTATTTGAGCAGACAATGGAAGAACCTTTTTGGCTCAGAGGAACTATACCAGAACTCAATTGAAAAATCACTTAGATCAGACCTACAGAGATGCTGAAAACAGCACCACCCTCCTCAGAGTTATGAGAGTTCAAACAGATGAACAAATTAGCAAGAAGCTTTTCTAATGTGTAATTTAAATTAACACATTCAAATACCTTTAATAGAAAATACTCAAATCTCGAAAAGCGATACATTTTTCATTGCTGTCGTGTCTTAGAAATAAGATTTTTTTTTTCCTTCAATTTTTCTGTTAATGCATCTCAGAAAAAGATGAAAGTTTTATAAAGCGTAGTGATATGGACTACCGCACAGATTTGTGGTGGTAAGGGGAATGAAATACAATAAAATAAACAACCCATCCCGCAATTTTCAAAAATATGATGACTGCTTTGAATGACGAGCTTTTTTTAGGCACATTTTGTTATCACTATAGTGGTAATAAAACAAAGCCCACAGAAAATAATTCAAAACCTCAGCTGGAGCAAAAAGTCTATCAGACAGTCATGCTGAGGATTTGTTCCCGAGCAATAGTATTAAAACATATTAACAATAATATAATAAACTCTCCTGAAACATTTGTTTCTTTAATGATTAATTCCTTGACTAAATAAAGCTTAACTAGAAAACTATTTTCACTGAAAACTTTGTGGTATTTGTGAAGAAAGAGAAGTAAACAGGCAAACAACAAAGCTTTATTATTAATGAAACTTTTCAGAATATGAATAGACATTAGATTCAATTTCCAGTGACTTAAAGCCTTTCTGTAGGGTCTTGAAGAATAAAAGGTACTTTGGTTCTCATTTTATTTTTAATCTTAAGCTAAGGATTCTTTAAACATTTCCTTTGCTGTACTGAATTTCTGAGAAGCTAGTATCTGGTTTATCAGGCACAGCAGCAAATAACTGAGAGCAATTATACTGATGCTTCTAATTTTCCCCTAGCTTTGCCTGTTGACTGTGTCATTCCACCAGATTTAAGTAGTCCAGTATGTTTCTAGTCTGAAAAAGGCACTGAAATTCTCAGAGGAAAATCCTTGCCTGCTTTTGAGAGACCTTGAAGTAAAGCTATGCCCAAACGAAGGCTGCAATTCCAGACTCCATTAATATTAAGAACCACTTATCAGATCCTGTAAAGCTTTATTGCTTTCCACCTGGCCTAGATTTCTTCAATTCTTGAGCATACAATACTACAGAGGACAGTACCATAGCCCCTCTCTGCCTTACAGAGCTGCACTAGGTGCTGCAGTAATGCAGGAAGTGCCATACTGCCATCTGCAGTCAGGAATACCCACCAATGTAACAATTCACTGCTCAATTTCCTTACAGCCAACAGTCATTTTCTTTTAATTTTCTCCCTTAACACTGATGAATCTTAAATTGTTTACTTTTCAATGCCTCGATCAAACATGACCTTTCAAACTTTTAATCCTTGCAGAGAAAGTTATTTTGCAGTGCTTAGAGCTGGAGTTATAGTAATGGCAAAGTAAGAAGGGAAGGAGAAAGAAAGCACCTTAAAATTTCCATTACCTGTCTGGTGTGTATGGGGCCCGGGGTCTTGAAGCCTCCTTGACAGCTGCATTCAGAAACACTGTAAGGGTCTGAGCTGCTTGATGAGCACTTGGAAAGTGAGTCACAGCCCACCACAAAGGTGTTATCTAGAGGCAGTTCCTGAATGACATGGTGCTTCTTGGGGGGTACAGGAGTCTCAGGTTTAATTTGAAAGGTAGGCTGCGGAGAAGCAGACTTGTAGTGCTTTGCTAAATCTGGGCTGTCAGGCTTAAATGTGGTTGGTGTGGTGGCCCAGTTATATTTTCCCATAGTCTGTTCTTCTAGCTCTACAGGAATGTCTAAAGTGCCATTTATGTGCTCGTGGCCAGGATCATCAGGCTTAGATTCTTCAATAGTCACAAAGTTGAGGAGGAGACTTTTTGGAGAACGCTTCTTCTTCTTCTTCTTTTTCTTGATCTGCCTATTCTCTTGGTTTGGGGAAACCCATTCACCACTCTGCTTGTTTTTTTGGACAACCTTGTGCCTAGGCGTCTGGCGGCACCGTACTAAAGCAGTAACAAAAATTACCAGAATAACTGTCATAGTGCCTGCAATAATGGCAATGATGATCTTGACATAATCATTGGTTTGTGGGGTTATCTCACCATCCCCAACATTCTGGCCAACTGGAGTTTCCATATTCCTGCGCACTAGCTCTTGTACGTAGGAACTGTTGGTGACTGTCTCATTCACAAACAAATGCACAAGAGCTACAGTATAAAGAGACTCCGGCTGTCCTAGGTCATTGACTTTTATCACCAGTCTGTGCAAGCCATGATCTGATGTAATTACCTTCTCCTTCAAAGTAATATTGCCTGTTAATTGGTCAATTGTAAACAAGCCCCTTGAGTTCCCACCTATGATGCTATAGCGGAGCTCTGCATTCATTCCTGTGTCATTATCAACTGCAAAGACTTTAGTAACTACAGACCCAGGACTGGCTGATGTTGGAACCAACTCATATGAATAATTAGATGAAGGAATAACAAAAACAGGCCTGTTGTCATTTACATCAACAACATTGATGGTCACTTTGGCAGTTGAGGAACGCTGCAGTCTTCCTCCATCCACAGCTTTCACCTGGAAAGTATATGACCCCTGCTGTTCCCTATCAAAGGTAATGTTAGGTCTTATTACACCAGTAAGTGGATCTATAATGAAATTATCTCTACCATTTAATATAGAGAGAGTGACCGCAGCATTCTCTCCAGAGTCAGCATCTGTAACTGTGATAAGCCCCACTGTGCCATACATGGGTAAGTTTTCTGGCACATAGAAATTATATTCATTATGTGTGAAAGCAGGGCTGTTATCATTCTGGTCCAGGACGGACACTGTCACAGTAGCATTGGTCTGCAAGGGTGGCATCCCATTATCCTTAGCCAGCACAGTGAAGGAGTACCTGTCTTGCTTTTCTCTGTCCAGCTTTCTCACTGCTGTCAGAATGCCTGTACGGCGGTCAAGGTTGAAAATAGGGGGTGCATCAGAACCCAGGATATAGCTGATCTCAGCATTGCGTCCACTGTCAGCATCTGTAGCACTTATCTTGGTTAGCTGAGTACCAGGAGCATTGTTTTCAGGGATGGAAAGACCTATGATAGGCTGTGTGAAAACTGGGGCATTGTCATTTTCATCTTTAATTTTGATCAGGAGCATTGCAGACTGGTTTAAGGGAGGTTTCCCTGAATCTGAAGCCACTATTTTAATGGCATATTCCCGTGTGGCTTCATAATCTAGAAATGTGGCTGTCTCCAAGAGAAACTGATTATCAAACACTGGCTTTAGCCTAAAAGGGACATCATGATCTGTAAAACAAGTAACTTTTCCATTCAGATCAGCATCCTTGTCCATTACTGTTATCAATGCAATTTTTGTATTAAGGGGAGCCTTCTCAGACAAAAGCACTGTCCCGTTCACTGGATTGATGATGTATCTTGTGTCTATTGATGGGACATTGTCATTAATATCTGTGACATTAACAGTCACTGTTGCTCTTGATGGAGTTGAACTGCCATCACTTGCCAAAACAGTTAATTTGTGTACAGGAGATTCCTCCCTGTCTAGCGGTTCTCTTATAGTGATGAGGCCGGTGGTGTTATCAATGGCAAACAGCCTTTTGGCCAAACTGGAGATCTGATTGCTGAAATAGAAGTGGATTTGTGCATTTGAGCCAAGGTCTGCATCAGTGGCATGGAGCTGAGAAACAGAGGCACCCACTGGAGCATTTTCTGGAACACTAACTTCAATGTCATTCTCTTTGAAGACTGGCCGATTATCATTCACATCAGTCACTGTGACTTGCAGGATGGCAGTGCTAGATCTTGGAGGGCTTCCACCATCTTCAACTTTAATTTTCATCACATAGGTATCCTTCTGCTCCCTATCCAGGATCTGTTGGACAATCAGTTGAGGCCACTTATCTCCCTCAGGTGTCTCAATTATATCAAGACCAAATACATTTTGACCCTACAAGACACAGAAAGAACATACTTTAGCATGTCAGTATATTTAAATAGAGAAACATCTCATTAATGTTCTGAAATTGTCATGGAATATATATTTTTATATATACTGTATACAGGAATATACATTTATATATTTACCTTTATTTTGCAATATCAGATTTTGCTTTAAGCTCTGGGGCCTTAAGAAAGCTTCAGAGCAAACATAGGAAGAAACGGATACTTTAGAAAAACAGGGGGCTTTTTTTTGAGGGGGTGGCGGTGTGTTTTGGTTTGTTTTTTTAACAGTTTCTCTATTTCTGCAGAAAAGTTATTAAATTCCTGGACAGATGTAATTTGATTTCTCTATTGTATCAGTGAGTGTGGAAAAGAGGAATGAAGCCAAAGTTCAGCCACATCCAAAGGCAAGACAGTATGCATACACTGGAGGACCTAAACCAATATTCAATTTCATGGAAAACAAGAAAGGTAAAGGGACTGTTTCTCTGTTCGTGGAGCAACTCTAGGCATGATCTGAAACCATTAGCACAAAAAACCAACTCCATCATTGAAAAGGGGCTTACTACATAATGCAGGTGTTAGATGGTACAGACAAAACTAAGTCATAACAATTTATTAGAAAAGTATTTTAAAACTCATTAAAACTATTCCTTTCTTCATCATTATATCTTTTATATCTGTAGTGAAAATTACAATCCCAGTGAGAAAAGAAGATCTATTTTCATTTCAAAAAATATCAGCGAACTGTGAGATCAATTTGAAAATAATAATTTTTTTTCATAGGATTTGTTGAACACCTAACACCCCTGGAACTGCGAAGAAATGCTACATATATTGCACAAACACAGCTTCTTTTAAAACACTAGTGTTGACAAAGTAGTCTGCTAAAATAAAGATTGGAATCTAGAAGTAGATTCCCTCTTCAGCTGTCTCTTCAGACAAGCAGGGATTAAGAATGTCACAATTATCCTCTTTTCTCTTCTCACATCTCTCACCCTTCAGAGGAAGAAATTATGTAAAGGCTGTATCTTCCATAAGGGCAGAGCTGGAAGGCAGAGCACTAAAGCTGAATGTATAGGATGACCAGAAAAAGAAGGCATTGATAAAGATGCTGACTAATTAGGATTTTCTTTTTATGTGTCATACTTGTAATAATGAACAACTGCATCCAGCCTGGTTCTTTCTCTGTTTATTGTGCACCTTTACCCATGTGTGTTCTATGTGTGTTCTAAACTGATTTGAGACACTTCAGACCAAAGGGAAAGAAAATGTTCCCAGTGTGCAAGATTCTTTATTTCTCATTGATTGTAAAAGACTTGTATTCACTGTATTTTGCTACCCACCGTTAAGTGAATGCATTTATAGGTCTGATTCCATGTAAGGCTGTACTCTTTCACTGATTTGTTTTCTCAAAGCCAGAATTTGACCCTACATAAATAATCATTTATTTCATGGAAGAGAACTATTCATCCACATTTCAAAAAATTACCGTGCCACTTGCACAGTATTTGTGACAACATTAAGTTGCAACTAGGGACAGTCTAAAGTGAACTGGAACACATTTTGAAACAATAAAACAAATACAGCTTTGGCTTCTTTAGCAGAAGGCATATGAAAATATAAGCCTTGCAAATCGTTTCTAAATCAAGATATACATTTTGAAGCAATTAGGTTAAATTTTAGAATGGTAATTCTCTGCTGATCTCTTCATGAAGGCGGAGTGTGAGTTTCCTCTTCATCTTCAATCTGGCTAGCAGTTATTTGCAATAAATTTCATAACTACTGAGAAATGATGAATTATATATTCTATGTTTTAACATAGATTTCCAGAAAAAAAAGTAACAGAAGCTAGAGGAAAAAAAAACCTGTCAGCTATCTTTTACTTCTTTATTTGTACACAAGTTGACAGATGGGCACTGATTATTCTGTCATTAGATCCCACAACTACAACAAACACTTCATATAGACTTTGAATATGTGCAGCTATACATATGCATACCCATTTCTGCTGTTCTTTAACTATCAAGTATGAAAAAGATATTTTTCAATATAGCATACGAGTTTGATATAAAATATAGAGCTTCACTTCCCCATCACTAGCAGTAAACTACTAGAGAACCAGAAAAGAATGCAAAGATCTCTTCCAAGTTAATTATTAAACATTTGAGTAATTTTCCATGGAAAAATAGTATCCAAGAGTATTTCTTGCTATTTAACACACGTTTATACATCTTTTTAAACCACCAAAAACAACAAAAAAAAGAGTTACAGAAAATTATACTTTCTCCTAATTCAAGCAAGCCTATTTCACGTTCTTTAAGGGATAAGGTTAGGTGTGACATTATGCTGCATTTTAACAAATGCATTTTCTAAGAACAGACAGTTCTCCCATTCTAAACACTCCAAAAAATGATGAAACATTCAAGAAACATATTTTTAAGATTATAAATACCTAATTCTCTCCTTTATGAGCAAAGAAATTGAGAGTTAAAAATCCTGAGAGAAACATGAAGAAAAACCTTCAGGATTAAACTCTTGATGATGAAGTAAATGGGTCTATCATCATTAAAACCTCAGGGAAATGAAAATTTCCATTAGAGTCAGACTGTTATTTGGACTGAACTGTACCTCAGTCACCACATTATCGCAGTGATCTGAAGGTTTCGTTCACACTAGGAAGGGTATGAGTCCATAGGAAAAGCATAATAGATAATTAACATTTATATAGTACCTTTCGCCATTAAAATGTCTGACTGGTAAAAATCTGCTACATTATGATCTCCAGCACTACAGAGGGATGGGAGTGAGAAAAAAAAAAGGTTGACTTTTTTAATCTAAAAAGACAGTTTAAGCAATGTAACCTAACTATTGGAGGCAAAACAAGGTTATGCCCATCTCAGAGCCAAGATTAGCTTTAAGAGGCTCTGGCCCTGATCACAGGATTCTTTATCAGGGCAATAAGTAAATCTGTTACCTTATTCAATTTTCATAACATCCTTTTCAGTGGATTCATGCACACAGTAGTCCCTGAAATAATGAAACTGGTATTCTTGTTGAACACTCCCTACTCATATATTTACCTGATCGTTTGTAATGGATCCAAATGTCCTTTTCGGAGCTGTTTTGGGCTGTCATGTAAATAAAAAATTAGAGAGTTTTTTAAAAACGGTAACATTTAGGTAGATTAATAAATACATAATCAATGACACATGGACACTTAATGTGATAAGCCAGAAGAGCTTCTAGTATTATGAACAGGACTGCACGTGATAAAGTGCACCTAACGCCTACACATAATTTGCCTCTAGACATACATATTGCAGTATCACAGTATCTCACCACAGTGTTTTGTAAAATCCATGGGGTATTGACTACCTAGACATTGTAATGAATGTTCAAATTGTAATGTGGGCTTCATTGTTGAGAGGAATGGGAAAAAAGACCAGCTCATAACAGTGGCACGGTCTGTTTTATTCAAAACATCTTACGAATTTACACTTGCAGACCAGTAAGTTGATAGAACATAGTAATTTCTCAAAGAAATAGGGAAGGGAAAGAATATTGTGCTCAATAACCATATAAAAACAACTGCTTGCGATACAAAGTACTCTGAAATTAAGACAGTCTATTAGTGATTATTTCTTAAAACATTACAAATTATATAATTGTATATAATAACTATACATAGTTAACTGCCAAAGAATAGATCAACACTGTCCTCAATCTTCATTCAAGAAGAGTATTCTGAAGCTTTAGAGAAAGACATACAAGCAAAGACAGTTCATTGTTTTGTGTCTACAACTTCGCCCTATACTTATTATAAATACTTACCTTCATGCACTGTAAATGACAAACACATTATAGGATGTATGTCTTTAGGTCAACTGAATCTTAAACAAAAGTCAAGGGCTAGACAACATGCATATAATAAACTTTCACTAATGTTCTACAGTAACTTATTTTAATGAACATTGCAACAAGCTAGAAGTGCACACTTATTTATTACATGTCAACAATCCTCCTAAAATCAGCTAGTTTTATTATTTCTAAAAATCTTACTCTGCCTGAAATCTAAAATAAGCAGTGACTAAATTCTAGCAGGCCAAATACAACAATACTGGGAAATAAAATGAACAAAATGTTAAAAATAGAAAAAAATTAAAAAGGAAGAAAAAAAAGATAAAAAGATCAGCTTCCCATTAGAAAGTAATTCAGTAATTCATTGAAGTAATTACTTAAGAATAAAACCTTTGGCTGAAATGCAGTCTTGTGTCCAAAGGACCCTAAAATATTTTCAGAAAGTCCAGAAAATAACGTATGTTTGCTAACTGCTAGTTATTTCAGATATAGCAACACACAAAACCTGTGCAGGTCTCCTGCAAAATTACAAGATAGGTCCCACAAACTGTATCCTTGTCTGTTTTTGTCAGGACATATGGAACTGCTCTATAACTGTTGTGTTATATTAGCAAAGAAAAGAATATAGTAGCACAATTTCAATTCCTAATGCAGAAAACTGGACAACAGTTATACAGTGGACAGCATTTTTAATAAAAGCTGAAAATTACACTTGCATTTTTCTTTCAAAGGTGATACTTTGGATGTGAAAATGTGAATTCTCAAAGCCAAACTAAAACCTTAAACACAAAATATTCTACTTGATAGGCAATAATGGATGTAAGTTCCTATAATAGGTGCATATTAGTACACTCAGATCTATAATTTCGTAAGAGTTGCAGCTCTAATAAAGGTCCCTTGTCTGCTATTACTTACACAGTGTGCAATTCATGTGTTCATGCATTCTAGAAGATTAAATTGCTGGATAGCTGTCCTGTTTAAAGACTGCACAGTCACTACCCTCATCACATCGCACAGCTTACAACCCAAAGTTACTTGAAATATGTGTTATTAATACCGATGGTTACCTTATGAACTGAGTAACAATACCTCAAAGGAGAAAATAAAATTACAAAGGTAAGAAATTTTTATAATGTAAAACTCAGC